GCGGTTCCTGTGGGCTAGCGAGCTTCTGTTCACTGACACCACCTCGTGGCTCTGCTTGTTTTTCAGCTGATTCCTTTGAGATCCCGGGGTGATCCATCATAGGCTCACGGAGCTTTCTTTCCAGTAGCTCCACTCTGTTGTTTCTGGTTGGAGTCTTGCTCTACTGACTGGGACTTTCAGAGCCGAATTACAGAGCTGTGACGGCAGCACCAGTGCGGCCCATCCTTGTCCCCGCGCCGCTGACTGCAGTGAAGCCATTATCCCTGGGGCCCCGGGGTGGGTCTGAGAGCCTCCTCTTCCTCCCCACTGTCTGCCTGCAGCTGGCCCTACAGGCCTCCTGCTTTGGCAGATTTTCATGAGTGGCCAAAGTCACAGCCCCCCTCTCAGGAGCCGTGTCTGGGACCTTGCCGCCTGGTGCTCTCCTGGCACGGCCATGTTGCTCGTGTCTCCGCGTGTGAGTGTGTAGGTTCCCAGGGGCAGCAACTGGGCCTGGCGATACTTCCCTCCCCCCGACCCTGGACAGACAAGGAAGGCCCTTGTCATTCCTCAGACATTCTGTTCCAAAGCTGAAAGGTCCCTCCCACCCCACATGCCCCTGGCATTCCCCCAGGCCCTCATCCAAGCTTGGCCTTGGGGTCCGTGCAGCAGCTGAGCACTGGAACGTCAGCCTGGCCACCAGGGCTGGCAGCAGTCCCCTTCTCCGCCCCTGGCCCCGTCCCCAGCTAGCAGCCTTGGCTTGGGAACGGGCCGTCCCTGTTCAAGGCAAGCCCTGTGTGTGCCACCATGTCCTTCTTGGGGTCTGGCCTCCACAAGCCTCCCATGCCCTTGCCTCAGCCCAACTGGGTGAAAGGACCATTCATCCTCTCCACCCCTCCCCTCATGGCCCTGCCTCCAGGGCTTTCTCCCTGTGGGTGATGGGGACCCCCAGAGGGAAGGAGATGTGTGAGTCCACTCTCCACTTTGGGCCCAGCGGCTGCCAGCAGAGAGGAGAGCGGATTCTTGTGTGTGTGGTGGGCCCGGCACCACGGAGAACAGTGCACACACAACACCCCGGGCCTGTCTTAACCCGGGAGGCCGGCTTTAGCATCGACCCCTCTTGTAGAAGAAGAGCTAAGGCCATAGAGAGGCTGCAGTTCACTCAGTTACGATACCAAGAGGCAGCACCACCCTCCAAACCCAGGCGTCTGACTCCAAGCCAGGACGGTGAATCTTGGGGACCCTGCCCAGGGCCACCAACTTGAGGCGCTTGGGAAATGTGTGTCTATGGGCACACTTACCAGAAACTCCGACTTACTGATAAATTAGGAATCCTGGTACTTGTCCTAGTATATTCTTTTTTTTTTTTTTCTTTCTTTCTTTTTGGAGAGGTTTTTGCTATAGGGCGTATGTGCTTGCCAGACAGATAGACAGAAAGTGAGAAATCACCCCCTAGGGGGCATGGCTACACCGCAATCCCTTCTCCTCCATTCTTTTCTCAGGATCTTGGGCATGCATGCACATGTGCCTGGCGTGAGTTTTAAGCCACCTGGTACAGGACTCGAACTGTGGTCGACTACGTGGGAGTCAGCAACATAGCCATTATGCTAACTGCTGGTCCCCGTCCTAGTATATTCTACCGCAGCAGTCCCCAACCTTCACAACATCAGGGATGATCCCTCCATGGATGGGGGTTGGTTCTGGGATGACCCAAGTACACCACATGCACTGTGCACCCCTGATTCATTCTTTCTTTCTTTCTTTCTTTCTTTCTTTCTTTCTTTCTTCCTTCCTTCCTTCCTTCCTTCCTTCCTTCCTTCCTTCCTTTCTTTCTTTCTTTCTTTCTTTCTTTCTTTCTTTCTTTTTAAGAGATTTTCACCATAGGGCACATGCGCTCACCAGAGAGACAGAGCAAGACAGAGACAGAAAACAAGAAATCACCCCTGGGGTGTCTATGCTGCAATCCTTCTCGTTTTTTCTCCTCTTGGGATGTTTGGCATGCATGCACATGCACCCATTGTGAGTTTTAAGCTGCCGGTCCCAGGACTTGAACAGTGATCAACTACGTGGGAGTCCAGTGATATAACCATTTTGCCATATGCTGGTCCTCCTGTTTCTACCACTACCACATTGCAATATGCAATGAAGCAATCACCCAACAATAGAGTTCATGCTCCCTGAAAACCTAGTACTACTGCTGACCGGACGGGCGGCACTGTGAGCCACGGGCAGTGGCTGCGAACACGGAGCCTCGCTCACCCCCGCCCACTCCGTGCTGTGTGGCCTGGACGACTGGCACTGCTCCGCGGCCGAGGATGACCCCGTTCTATACACCTTTCCTCAACCCTCTCTACTTCTTTTTTTTTTTTCTCTTTAAAACTATTTACTTACAAACCTTAACTCAGCAAAGGTTTATGTGGGAAGGTTGGGAAAAGGACATTCCCCTGGAGTGGATGTGGGACCCCCCCTTAGGGTCAAGGGAGGGAAGCTGGTGGCCCAGCCGGTGGGGACAGGGTGAGTGTGTGAAATATGGGAGCCAGGAAGTTAGCCACGGGGCGGGGCGGGCATTCCCTGAGGCCGTCAAGGTGGGGACAGGTGTGTGGGGCATGTGGGTGCATCACTACACACATGCTCGCACATGCGTGTGACCGCCGTAAGCACTAGGGTATACCTGCTTTGTCTGCCATTCCCTCAGCAACCCCGTGGAATACCCATGCCTTTTTGTAGCATGAGTACTGGGACTCTCAGGCTTCTGCTGATCAGCCAGGCCGGCCCCTTGGGCTCACTCCCTGAGGAGAGCTGGACCAGCCTAAGGACCAGGGATACGGTCGTTCTCCTGTGTCTCTCCTGGCCATGGCTGGAGAAACCTGTGGACAAAGGCCGGGCCTTCGGGCTTCCGGGAGTGGAGGGGGGGAACCCAGGGACTTGTTCTATGGGCTACAGACTTCCCCCCAGACTGGCCACCTCCATGGGCCTCCTCTCTAGCACCGGCCCCTCCCTGCCCTAAGACATCAGCCAAAATTCCCTCTAAGGCCAGCCTCAGCCCTGACCAGTGACAGTCCTTGTACAAACAGACACTTTCTGGGAGCGAGATCCTTGCCAAGACACAGGAGGCCATCCAGAGCAAAGAGGTCGTTTCTGGTGGTGCTCCAGCTGGGTGTGTGTGACCATGGCCCCTGTTGCCAAGATGCGGGCTGGAGGGACAGGCTGGACTTTGTTCCCGCCCACGCCCTCTTCCTTTCCGGGGTCCATGGGCTTTCTGTGCAGTTCCAACAAGCGTGTTCCTCTCTGTTCTCACCTGGAAAATGAGGGTGTTTGCCTAGACAACATTTAGGGTTTCTTCTGTCGCCCTCTGTGATCTCTTGGTGACAGTGGGTAGGAATGAATGCCATCAGGGGAGGGTGGCTCTGGCCTTTGGGTCCAGGGAAGGGTGGATGGGGCCTCCTTCCTGGGAACAGCACTTGGCGTTTACGGCTATGTTCTCACTAGCGCCTCTTAGCAACCATAGAGAGGAATGCCAAATGAGACAGCCCAGAGAGGCTGGGGGACTCGTGCTGGCTCCAGCACTGATAAGCAGCAGAGTCAAACATAGGTCACGTCCATCGGCTCTGACCCGGCTCCCCACACGGCCCACAGTGCTGTAAGCTACTTTGCAGGTGGCGTTGTTTGGTCTCAGTCCCAAGGAGCAGGATAAGCTAGTCCCCTAGGGACTGGACTGTGGAACCAAAGTGCTCCAGGAGTCCCCTGTGTGCATGGTGCCCACACCTGGCTCGCATGGAGTGATCCAAGCAGCTTGGGACCATGAGGATACCCAACTCCAGCTGACCCTCCTCAGCCACTGCCTCTAGGCGTTAGGCTGCCCAGGGGGCCAAGTTTGGAAGGGGAGGGAGTGGGGGCTCCAGATGGGACTTCAGGTAACCTAATGTGGCCTGAGGTGTCTATGCTATGGGTTGTGTCTTCTGCGGGGTGTCCTCGAGTGTAGAGTCTGCCTGGGGAGGAGTGATTAGCTTTGGGAATCGCAGGGAGGTAGATGCTCCCAGCCTGATGGCTGGTAATAGTTCTCTGCCCTTACCTGGGTTCTCCCAGCTGCTCTGGGGAACTCCCTCCCCGGGGTTCACCCAGAGCTTTCTTACTTTCACAGGGGTGGGGACTAGCCCCAGGCTTCGCTGCCTGCTCGTGCTCCAGTGTGAGCTGTTCAGTTGTGCATTCACTCAACAAACATTTATTTCAGTGCCTACCACATGGGCTTGGGGTCAGCTCTTTAGGTTTGGATGCCATCTGGGGCTACCTCCCATGTGAGGAAGCCATGGCCACCGCTAGCCAGAATGTGGGGAGCCCAGAGGGCTGGAGGGGCCCGAGCCTTGTGGATCCAGGGTGTACATTGATGAGAAAGGGATGGAGGCTGCAGAGCAGGTGTGAGAGGGCGTGGGCGGCGGGCCCCGGGCTGCGGAGCCCTCACCATCTCTGCTCTCTCCTCAGTATGGCAAGAAGAAGCTGAAATACCTGCCCTACAACCACCAGCACGAGTACTTCTTCCTGAGTGAGTGTCTGGGCGCTCTGCAACCATAGCCCCACTTCCTCTCACCTGCCCGACACCCTCACACCCACCCCCCCATGTCCCCCGTGCTGTCTGTCCCCTCCCACCTGACACTCTTTTGGACCCAGGAAGTGACTCAGAGATGGAGCCGTCAGAGTCATCCTGGCAGACCCCTTGTTGCCCATGGCACAGGCAGAGTGCAGGGCTCAGAGTCCCAGTGTCATGCAGTCAGTGGTCCCCAGGCCATCTGCAGCGTCCCCACGGGGCCTCTGGCACCTCAGCCCACGCGCTGCAGAGCTGACTGCTGCATGGGGCCCCCGGCAGCTGGGGGGTGGGGCTGGGTCTCTAAGCGCCTTGCTGTCTCCCCTGCAGTTGGGCCGCCGCTGCTTATCCCCATGTACTTCCAGTATCAGATCATCATGACCATGATCGTTCGCAAGGACTGGGTGGTGAGTAGGGGCAGAGCTGGCTGGGGCTGGGAGGGTGACTGGGCGAATGTGCCCTTGTGTGCTTCTGAGGGCCAAGGGTCCTCAGGCATCTCTTCCCAGGATGGCTGCCTTGTCACTCAGGAAGGGACTCCCTCTAGGACCACGTGAACTAGAAAGGCCACTGCATGCCCATCCTAAAGCTCTCCTCCCACCCGCCCACATGCAGAGGGAGGCCCACTGCCTTTGCAGAGGCCACGCAGAAAATTCCCGAAGGCGACGTGATGAGAGGCAAATGCAGTGACTCCCCTAAGCCTGTCTCTGCCCCAGCCCCACCTCCCCGCCATGTTCTCCTGTGTCAAAGGCCCCATGCATCCAGGCCCCCCACACTCTGGCTGGAAAGTGGGTAGCAGCTGGGCACTGGCTGAGAAGACAGGTGCGTTTGCCATGACAACATGAAAAGCACCACACCCCAGAGTCCCGGACACAGATTTATAGGCTCACGGTTCTGCAGGCTGGAAGTCCATGGTGGAGGTGTTGGCCCACTTGATGGGAAGGCTCTATCCAGGCCTCTCCAGCTACCAGGCTGGTAGATGGCCATCCTCTCCCCATCTCTCTCTACATAGTCTTCCCTCTGTGTCTCCCTGCTTTATAGGGACATCAGTCCCAGTGGACTAGCTCCACCCTGCTGATCTCAACTTGTTATATCTGCAGAGACTCTATTGCCAAATCCTCACCTTTTCAAGACTTTAACATGAATGGCGGGGGCAGGAGGCACAGTTCAACACAAAGCAACAGGCCTAGAGGAGTTGCCTGGTTTTGCTTCTAATGAGAGAGAAAGAACCCCTAGAATGGGACTCTCTACAGCATGGGGCTGTAGAGAGGTAGGCCCTCAGATTTATGGAAGTGTGCGGTTGGCACTTTTCTTTGTTTTTTGCTATGGGTGTGTGTGCTTGCCAAAGTCAGAGAGAGTGAGAAATCACCCCCTGGGGGATAGTCATGCCATTATTTCTTCTCTTCCAGTAACCTCTCAGGACTTTGGGCACACATGCACTTGTGCCCGGTGTGATTCTCAAGTTGTCTGATCTGGAACTGAACTGCACAGTTGGCCATGTGAAATCCAGCTGCCCCAACCACCATACCACATGTGGCCTACAGTTGGGATTTTGTGGCAGATGATAATATCCCCACCCTGGAGTGACCTGCATGAGGCAGTGGCACTATGCCTAAGGGGTTCTGCTGACAGAGACATAGCCTCTGCCCTCAGGAGGGGACAGACGAGTCCTTTAGTAGCTATCTCTAGTCTTGTTTCTTTTTTGCTAGGAGATGTGTGTGTGTTTGGTTGGGGAAGAGAAACAGAAAGCACCTCCCAGCGGGCTGTGGTCATACCACAGTTCTTTTCTTCCATCTACCCTCCCCATCAGGATTTGGGGCACACAGACACATGCTCCCAGAATGTTGATCTCGAGTCGCCAGAGCTGGGATTCATACCTTCTGTGGGATCTGACTCCTTTAACCACTAGGGTATGGGGCTGGCCTCTTTTTTTCAAACTGTCTTGTACATGAAGATACTAAGACATTGAAGGTTTGAGACTTGCCCATGGTGACACCCAAGAGGTGGGGTGGCCTTGGCCCCCTTACGCCACATCCTACACTCTCCTCCACCCCAGCTGCCTCTCTCTCTTTTGAATACCTCATCTCTGTAGAGCATGTGGAGGGCTTCAGAGTACTTTGTCTTACACTCAAGGCAATTACGGCCAAAGGGGCCATGTCTGGAGACTGTGAAGAGGGCCAGGTGAGGTGGTTGGGCAAGAGGCAGGGCTCGGGGCACTCTGCCAGCCCTGCCCTGGTAGAACTTGCACAAACTCACTTCTCGAACGTGCCGTTTTTTCAAAACTGGGCAAAGGTCAGTGTTTACTGCATTCCAGGAATATTGAAGCACTGCTGCCTATGCTGTGTCCTTTCACCTGCTCTACTGAGAGGCACGTGAGGGCTCGGAGGGACGGACTCAAAGTATCTGGGTTGGCTAAGTGGCCAGAGTTTGAAACCTGCTCTCCTACTCCTGCTGGGACTGCTATTTCCATGGGGCTCAACTGGGCCCTGGAAGGAGTCACAGCTGAGAAGGAACCCGAGCCTCTGCTGTGCTGGCCAGGTGACCTACAGGGGCTTGTAATCAGCTTTTATAGCAGATGGTGCTTTAAAACAAAAGAAAAACTGTTTCTTTATTTCATGAGAGAGGGAGAGAGAGGGAGACAAGCCCTCTTGGCTCTTTCTCAGGCATGGTCCTCACCTTTGGCCTTTTAGTTGGCCAGGATCCTGGCACTTGAGTGAGCGCCTGGAGTGTATAGCGTGTCCTGGGAACAACCCGGACCTTCCCTGTGGCTTCCAGCATTGCAGGGTGCTGCGCTACCATGGCTGGGCCAGTAGACGATGGCTCTTTTTTTTTTTTTAAGAATTATTTTTTGGGGCCGGAAGGTAGCATGGTAATTAAGGCACTGGACTCCCACATGGCTGACCACAGTTCAAGTCCTGGAACAGACAACTTGTTTTCTCACTTTCCCTTTCTCTCTTTCTCTGTGTCTCTCTCAGGTCAAATTTAAAAATAATAACAACAAATAAAATTAAATAAATCATTCTTTTTTAAAAAGAATGATTCATTTTGTTGCTTTAATTTTAATTTAATTAATACTCATTTATTTTTTTGAAAGAATGATTTATTTATATTTATTATTATTATTGCTTTAATTTAACCACAGAGAAATAAAGAGAGAGAAAGTGAGAAAGCAAGCCACCAGGACCAGGACAGGAAGGATCTCTTGGGTTGTCAGGAGAGCGTAGAAAAACTGAAACACAGGGGCCAGCAGGTGGTGTAGTGATTAAGGAACTGGACCCCCACATGGTCAAACCACGGTTTGAGTCCCAGACCCAGCAGCATCAAACTTCCCCACTGGGTGTGTGGGTGTGCATGCCCAAAATCCCGAGAGAACGAAGGAGAAGGGATTGCAGGCCATTCCCTTGGGGAGTGATTTCTCACTTTCTCTCTGTCTCTCTCTCTGAGTCTCCGGCAAGCACAAGTGCCCTATAGCAAAAAAGAAAAAGAAAGCTAGAAAATTATGTCGCAACTTTTCCGACCATCTAGTATTTTGAAGACACAAATGTGACCGTGTTTTGCTGCCATCTGAAGCTTTGGTGGTTGGTTCTCCATTGCCTGTGAGTTAGAGGGCAACCCCCGCGTGGTCCTGAGCCAGCCATGGTCTGCCTCGCAGCCTTGTCTTGCCTCTCTCCACACCGGTGTGGAGCACGTGGGGTCTGCCATCCACATGGGAACACACGGCCTGGGGACGAGCCCGCCCAGCAGAGGCCATGAGCTGGGCCAGGGTGGCTAAGCAGGGTGGTTCCCACCCCCACAGAGCTCTGGGCCAGCAGGAGGCCGCTGCTGTGGGCCAGTGGAGACACAAGGACTTAGTGACAGGAAGAAAGAGGAGAGAGACAGATGGCTCCATGGCATATCTGCCATGGGCCTGTGGTGGAAGGTAGAGGACAGAGCAGCTGAGGGTCACTACAGTTCCTGCACCAGTGAAGGGCAGGAAGGGGCTGTGGAGTGGAGAGGGGACAGGAGGAGAATCAGTGTCTGGAGGTGCTGGGAGGGAGGGGACCCATGGTGTTGGCTGCCCTTTGTCCTCCCATGCTGTCCTGCTGGAGTGAGAGGTGAGGACAGAGATCCTGGGTGCTGAGAAGACAAAAAGAGGCTGAAGGACCATACTGGGGTTGC